AGGAGGAGGAGGAGGAAAAAAGAAGAAGAGGAGGAGGAGGAGGAGGAGAGGAGGAGGAGAGGAGGGAGGAAGGAGGAGGAGGGGAGGAGGAGGAGGAGGAGGAGGAGGAGGAGGAGGCGCAGGAGGAGGCGGAGGAGAGGGGGGAAATGAATATGAGCAGGACAAGGCGAGCAGGGCCGCGTGGTGCAGGAATGGTCCTGGGGTCCGGGGGCCTGAGGCCTGGGAGTCCTCGACTTTTGGGGGGGCTGGTTCCTGGCGCTGGGTCCTGGGAGGAGGTCCTCGGGGCTTGGTCCTGGAGGGTCCCGGGGACCTCGGAATTCTTGGTCCTGGGGTGTCCCGTGGCCGAGCGTCCAGGAGGCCGGTTCGGTTCTGGAAAGAGGAGAGATGAGGACGGAGGGAGGAGGGGGGAGGGAGGAGAGGGCGTGGTAGAATGCCTCGGTTCTTGGCGCTGTCTTGGCTCAAGCCAGCGCTGTTCTGTTTTTGCTAGTTGCACTGCCGTGTGTGACAGCATTGGGATAATTGCGTCAGACAAAGGCCACGTTCATCCATGATCCGCCCATCTATCCCATGGCGTCTCTCTTACCTCTCGTCGTGCTTGCCATCAAGGGATGAGTTGTGGAATGCTTCGATACGTCGCCGACGGTATCCTAAGAGTCGAGTTCCCCGCTTCGTACGTCATGATCAAGCCCTATACCCTTACTTTTCACTCCCGCGACGGTTGTTGCTGCGCGCGTTCTGTAGCGTCGCGAGGCTCACCCGCCAGTGATAGATAGGTTGCCCGACGTTTTTGCGCGAACGTGCGCCGCTGCTGACGTTGAAATATGTTTCGGTCGCGCGGTGTGGCATGTCACGTCCTACGCTCTGAGCTCCAGCACGGGTACCCTGGCCACCTCCTGCGCCTCGCCATAAACATGCGCGCGTTCCCTGCAGCTTCGGAGAGGTTTGGACCGAATGCCGCGACGCGCGCCCATGCCGATCCACAGCGCGCTGGAAATGCCCACTCCAATGCCGCCCGCCGTTTTGAAGCGCAGTCGTGTTACATGTGGATTGTAAAGGGTGTTCCTGACAACGTGTCGTTACTTCGATTTGTACATGCCCACAGCGACGCGTGCTAAATTCACCAGCCAATGTCGAAGAAACGCGACGCATCCCACTTTGTGTTGGGGCCGCGCGGCGACCATAACGGACGCTACCAAACGAGAGAGATACATCAGACAAACATTGAAGTCGTTTCAAACGAAATTGGGCCGAAACCACCCCCAGCAAAAGGCCAGACCAGGCAACCTGCGAGGACGTTTTTTGGTGGAGCCGGGAAAGGAGGCCGAAGCAGGGCGAAACCAGGCAGACGTTGAGAAAGCTTCAGGCGAAACCAGGTTCAAACCAGGCCAAACCCGGTCCAACCAGGCAAGTGGCGAGGATGCCCCATGCAAAACCGGGTCCAAACCAGGCCAAACCAGGGACCAGATTGAGCGCGTGTCAGGCGGGGCGCGCGGCCAAACCAGATTTGTCCAGGGCCACGACAGGCCAAACCACGGGGCAAACCAGGCAAATCATGAGGACCTCCCAGGCAACATCGCCCAGGCCAGGCTCCATTCCCCCTCCTTCATAAAATTATTAAATCAAGGATAGGATCACCCCCCCCCTCCCCGCAGGCGGGGTCCCGTTTGGAGTTCTACGCGGGGAGCGCTTGGACCGCACGCCCGCTGATTGGGCACAGGAGCCTGCATATGTGCTTCGGCGTTGTTTGGGCCTTGGTGTGGCGCAGGGAGAAATATCTCCGTGCCCGCAGAGGGCCTGCTTGGTTTGGGTCTCGGAGGAATTCCGGCCATCAAGGGGCGTGATTCTTGGTTGTTGCATGGCCGTGTTCGCTCCGATAGACAGCTTCATATCTAGCACTTTGCATGTGGATCTCGCGCTACAGGTGCACGCTGATGATTTCGCCGTTCAAGTAATCTCCAAGCTCAGGCATGTGGCTGAGAACATGCGTTGCGCGTTGCGGGGGGGGGGACTTCCTGCACCCAATTGAACTCCTACCCGCCAAACGTAAGACGGAAGCTGACGACTGTTGCCTTGCATATAGTGACGACTGAAGCTGTCTGCAGCAGCCTTTTTGGACTCGGTGACCGCGTGCCTCAAGCGTTGGAGGTTCGCGGGGGTGAGGTCGCATCGGGAGGCCTTCTCCGGTTCGGTCGATTCACGGCGCCGCGTTGTCAAGATGCGCCACCGTCTCTCATTGTTATTTCGTGTTACGAAAGCAAGTCGCTTCATTGGTGAGTTGATCAAAGCGGCGGTCCTTGCCGCACTGAATTTTGGCGCGGGCGCACATGGTGCGTCACGCGCTGCGGCCAGCGGGATGCGCAGAATCTCAAAAGGCTCTCGGTGTGAGCCAGGTAAAGCTAGATTGGCCTGGATACCATCGTTCCTCCACGGGCGAGGGGTCCAAGATCCTCCCATCGCGTCTTGAGCTGATCCCTTGCACCAGTTGGCTCTGCTCTGCTGGGACCCCCGCTTGGCCTCATTACTTCAAAGTGCATGGCAGCGCCATGCCCGGCTCGTCCTTCTGCCGAGGCACCCCTGGGGACTCGTAGTTGGACCCGCTGGGGCCACGGTGCTGCCTCTACGCGCCGCGTGAGGCTGGGTTTTGTCATCGGCGTTCGCCATCAGGACGTACCTCGGAGACCGCATCGACCTTCGGACCTTCCCTCAGGGACCTCGCTCGCGATGCTGGGGTTCGGAGGCGGTGGGGAGAATGGGCCGGCAGGGCTGACGGGGTTTCCGCCGTTTGCATTGGCCCGAGCGCGCCCGTAGGTTATTTGTTTGAGCCCACTGTGGCCTTGCTGAACATCACGAGGCAAGAGGACGACCCCAAGCGCCCCTATGTTTTGTCAGGGCAGGAACATGTGCGCAATGCCCATTTATTAGCAACATGTAGCCGATTCCTTTCATATTCCATGGGCACGTGGCCACGCTGACGATGGTCGCAATTCTTTCTACAACGATAACGACATCAATGCCCTTATTCACCCGAGCGTCTCTTCATGGTTTTGGTACCGTTGTTTGCCGTCAAAGGCTAATTTTTCCTTGCCGCGCAGAGACGACTCGCGTACATGGCGCTCACTCTTATAGCGATTGCGGAGTTGCGTTAGGAAGCGTGTTCTCAGACGCGGCTTGCAGGAAGTATCATTATTCGCACCGGGCCGCTCGGGCTGGATGGTGTTTCGCTCAAATTGGGGATTACTCTGTTTACTTGCGTGGGCTTGGTGGGCTTTCTGGTCTGATTCAGATTCGCCCACGTGGTGAACTTTGCGCTGTCGTCCAGATGTGTAGATATGTCCAGATCCTTCGAGTGGCGAGTCCAGTACGCAGCTTCACGGATTACGTCGACTTGCCTCAGGGATTTGTTCGCGGGTTTACCCAAGCGACCGAATGTTGATTTTTGGTATGAGACTTGGAGGCGACTGGATGATCTTGGAGGACTGAGTTGTGACATTCGAAGGATGGGACCTCTCTCGAGGCTCGCGGGAGCCGATCCACCGACTCTGCGGCCACCCAGGAGCGTGATTCACATGCGGTGCCCCCTCAGGATGCCAAGATGATGAAACATCCTTGCCAGGTTGTTCGAACAAGACCTGTTGCTGGAAGTCTCGGGCTTACGTGAACGCCACCCTTCCCTAAGGGCAGCGACGCTTCCAAGGCTGCTAGGGTAATGAAGCCGGCCAGTGTTAACATGTTTCACAAGTTGTTTTTAGTTTGGGATCTCGCACGGGTAAAGATGCCACACGTGTGGCCAGACCATCCACTACAATTAGCAGCGCAATATCACCCCGAGCAAAGAAGACCCTGCCCTGCGAAGTTCATTTTACGCGACAGATCCGTATTTGCCCCTGACGATGTCAGTGGGTATAGCAACAGTGGCACTGAGGTGCAGGCCAGCACCCTAGTCCGCTCGAAGGCGTTGCTGCGTCTGTCAGTTGGGCGAGAGGGTCGTCGCTGAGTCTGTCGTTGGAGGCGGAAGCGGGGGATGGGTCTGTTGTTGCTGACAGGTCTGTGCGCACACTCCTGCAGCATGCCTGGGAAAGGCAAGTCCTCCAGAGAGTCGAGGCCAGCGGGGTCGCGCGTCCTACACCCCCGTGCAAAAAAACAATTGGTGTTGTTCTATCCCTGCAATTTCAGCGTTCAATGCGGTGCCGATTTGTTCTTTCGAACTTCACCGGTCGCTCGACCAACATTGAAATGGGGGGGCCAGGGGGCTCGCCAAACACCAGTTGCTTTTCGCACGGGGTTGCAGGCCACCCCTCCCTAGAGCCAAGAATGTTTAGAGCTCGGGTTGTCGCCCCAGACCCCTCGGACGGGGAAGGGGAGTTACTGTTGCGAGCAGCAGCGAGTATCGATTTGAAGACATCCGCTTCGTTGCCGAACCAGCGCATGACCCTGCTTCGGGTGAGCCACAGCGCAATGCTCGGAGGGGGGCCCGTGGTGGCTCAACGGTTCCTGGGGTCCGTGCCGTTTTGCCGCTGTCCCGCGCAAAGCGACGTGTTTCCTGGAGCTGCTGCCCGTGAGCACGAGTTTTCTCTTGCCCCTGGGGCCGAGGCCATCTGTTTTGCTTGTGGGGGCATCTCAACGGGCAGGGACTCGTTGAGCACTCCGGCCATCCGTCTGCCGCCACCTTGCCAGATCAGGGACTCGGAGGCTTCAGGTTCCGATGCAGAGGTGCATTGGCTGCGCCTCGTTTAATTTGCTGCATAGTCGAGCTCACGTTACTTCTAGCTCGTTTTCGCGCTTGTCCGCCGCCTCCCGCCGTGATCCACCTTGGGCGGGCTCTGGTTGCGGCGCAGCTGCGAGCGCTGGCCTGAGGCGAAGGGGTCCCTGGCCGTCGCCAAGTGGCCGTCTTGCGCTTCGCGCGACGGGCTGTGTATCCCTCATGCTGTCATCTTTGGGGCCAGTGTGTGGGCGCTGCTGCTGCCTCCTTGCCCACAGCCTGCAGCAGCCGTCCGGCTAAGGTGTGGGACGCGAGGACCGGCGTCTGCCAGTGGACCCTCGAGGACCACAGGAGACGACCCGCCCTCCCAGCCATCTCACTCTTCTCACTCCATCCCGCGTCCTTCCTCATCCTCCGCAGCTTCTCCCTCTGGTCTCCTTCATGCGGTGGGGGCATCGGACGAGGAATGCGGCCACGAGGCGTGAAGACCCGGGAAGATTGTGTATGTGATGAGGGCGGCGGTGAGATCCATGGCCAAGCCTCGATTGGCGTTCCACCGGCTTCCAGACCATGGATTCCTTATCCAAGGGCTCCTTGTCCAATACCCTTACCGTAATCATTGAGGGGGCTTCCCACCCGCCTAAATGCACATCGAAACATGTCCACTGCGGTACAGAAGCCAGGCTTGGCAATGATTACTGACGCGCTGTATGTTGTTATATATCGGGGCCCGTCACGTGTGAACGTTGGAGCTGTTGCTTCTCAATTTTTCATTTGCGCGCACATGCGCAATCCGTATCACCCTAAGCCTCGGTTGCGTCATATGTTGTTCGCAGCCCCGAAGTACATGCATGCTGTCGCCTTGCGCCGTGCTCCAGCCGTGTATACGCCTGCTTGAAATGAAACGTTCGCGTCATGCACCACTTGTGCACTAAATGAACAGTTTGGGCATGCACGCACGCAAGTTGTGCACCTGCCATAAAGTACGAACCACCCGCGTTAGAAGCGTGTTGCAATTGGGTGGAAGGCGTCGTTGCCATGGTTGGACGCGGCTCGACAACTTGGCAGGATGATGTTCGGGAAAGGTTCGACGAACGACTGCTGGCTCGGCTCTGGACGCACGAGAGTTTGCATTTTTTGAGTTCCTCGTTGTAGTGGCCTCCGGCCAGTGCCGCCGATACGGGGTGCTACCGCTTTTGCTTGCAACGTATGTTCTTTTATGTTAAAAGTAGAGCACTCGCTCAAGACATCCTCATAAGATAGAGATGTTGAACTCGCTTAGGAAACCTTCTGATATTCGAAAGTGACGATCTCGCGTGAACAGCCAAACTCATGGGATGTCCCCCCCCACCGTCTGGGCCTGAATGACGTCAGCCATGGCGTCAGCCCCCACCCCCCCCCCGACTCCCCCGTCCCGGGCGTGGATGGCGTCAGCCATGGCGTCGGCCCTCCCCCCCCCTCTCCTCTCCCGCGCCTGAACGGTGGCGTCAGCCATGGCGTCAGCCCCCCCCCCCCCCGCCGACAGAGTGAAGCTTGAGCGAGCTCCCCCGTCCCTCCCCCCTCCCGGGCCTGAATGGCGTCAGCCATGGCGTCAGCCCTCCCCCCCTCTCCCCGACCCTTCCCTCGCGGGCCTGGATGGCGTCAGCCATGGCGTCACCCTCCCCCCTCCCCCTCTCCCCCCTCCAGATCTCTTCCCGGGCCTGAATGCGTCAGCCATGGCGTCAGCTTCCCCCCCCCCCTCCCCCCGACTTCCTCCTCCCGGGCCTGAATGGCGTCAGGCATGGCGTTCCCCCCCCTCTTCCCCCTTCTCCCCATGGTGTTCCCCCGGAAGTTCCCCCCCCTCCCTCCTCCCTCCCGGGCCTCAATGGCGTCAGCCCCTCCCCCCCTCCCCCTCCCTCCCCTTCCGCCCTTTTAGAGTTGAATGGCGTCAGCCCACCCCACCCCCCCGACAGAGCGAAGCCACCCTCCCCTCCTCCCTCCCTG